GGAGAAGCAAATACCTGCATATTGTTTGTTTTTGAACTATTATCAGCCTTTGGGCACTAGAAAGTTATTCATTGCTTCAAACTGACAAAACTACTGACTGTTACGTAACTGCCTACATACCTGCATGGGTACATGTGAGCGTTAGAGTCCTTTGCATAAATTTGTCAAATTTGTCAAATTGGAAAATAATTTCCAGTTTATTAAAATCTACACAGAATATATTGATAAATTAATTACACATCAGATCTTCCTAATAAACTGGAGCTACAAAGCAGAAAAAACGCTCATCTCCTTAAGCCGGCATTACATCAATGTACCCGACAGAAGATCAATGCTTGGCGTCATTTCTCGATTTGCTGTGTGGCAATCTGTACGGTAAGGAATTAGGTTACACATCACATCCTTCAATGGACTTCCTTTTGCCTGCCTCACTCAAACACAGCTTAACTTACATCCATTCAGTTTCAATGGATTCCTCTGAGCTGTATTTTCTATCCATTCATACAATGCATGTGAAAACAGCAGCTGAAAAGAGTGCTTACGCAGAATTATGCAGAGTCCTTGAGCGTTTCTGTGCCAGGGTAATTGATTGCTTTGATATGCTGCTGGAGTGTACAGCTGTAGCACTGAAGTCTGAGACCGATTGCAATTTCTATGCTGCCGCTGTAAATGAGGCCAGTGTAATACAGTGCATCTGCATCAGCACACACGCCATGACAGCTTTAATGGTTGACATCAGTGAACTGCTATTTGTTTAAGGCCATTGAAAGTGTGAATTTTAGAGTGTGTTTCAGTTTGACCTCGTTTGAGTTATGTAATCCTCTAGAGAGGAATGCCACCTCAAAAACAGATTACAAAAGAATTTGCCTCTGACACACAAATGTACTTTCTCATGTTGTTACAAACCAGGGTTATCTGTTCTTTCAAACATGTTTCGTCACTGATAGGACTTCAGGCAGAAAATGGTTGGAAATGTAGACTAAGAGGCTATTTGTTTTTCTTCAGAACTAGTGTTGATATGTTGTAATGTTTTTCATTACGTTAGATTCCGTTTTATCATCTTCACATTTCTATGGACATGATCGGAACACTGTATCATTCGAATGTCAGCTGATCTTTTGAGTGAATAAAAAAAAAATACACTGTGTCCAGAGAAGTCTGATGCTCAAGTGAATGATTCATATGAGCTGGTTCTTTTTAGTCAATCAAAAACACACAGTGCTACCAGGTTGTCTGATTCATGAGCGATTTGACTCTTATGAATCAATTCTTTTTTTGTGAATCAAAAGCAGAGAGTGTGGGGAGAGATATATAATTCCCAAGCAATGACTCTTACGAGTCGCTTCTATTTAGTGAATCAAAAACATACAGAGTGACCAGATAAGCCTGATTCCTGAGCAAAAAGCGCAGTCAGTTTCTGTGAACAAAGAAGTGATATTGTGTTTTGTTGTTCTAAAAGCTTGTGAAGATCGGCGCTTAAATTATTGTAGCTTCTGACTCAGTTTATACGACAATAATTAAAGATACACAACATGATTTTAATTATAAATACCGGAATGTGGTATTTTATATAATGACATGAAATACATTAATATGCCACATACCACCATCTTTTGTTCATTGTTGTTTTACATTTATTTTGGGATTGAAATGATCCCAGCATTTGGCAATAGAATTGAATTCATGTTTTCCAAATATTTTTTTCATCAAAGTCAAAAGTATCATTAAAGGAATCATTAAAGAACTTGAATTGTGATTTGGAACCCAGATCATTAATGGTTTACTATTACCATTGCTATTCAGCAAGTATGCAAAAACTGAATTTTGGAAAGGATTGAAGGAGAGTGAGAAGAATCAATGGCAGATGTGTGTTGTTAGTATTCATGTGACCCCCTACAAAACCCGTTTTTAAATATCAGTATGTTCCGTGTTTACACGCTTGGAGCTGCATGAAAAGAGGCTTTAGGTCCAGCAGTCTGCAGACTCATCTTGGGCTTTGTGACATAGGGGTCTGGCTTTTGTGTGGTCTTGACAGGTGGGGTAGACACCCTCTGTCTGGAGGTTCGGAAGCAGCGAGTGGGGTTCATCCCCCATCTGCTGCTGTGAAAGTGGGGCACGCGACCCTGGTAGAGAAAGAGAGGCCAATGGCATTGCGCACACAATAGAGGAGTCTGCACGTCTGTCACTCTGGGCGTATAACACAGACCGGAGGCTCCAAACAGCCCTTTTAGCTTTTCACTTAATGAAATGGAGTGTGTGTGTGTGTGTGTGTGTGTGTGTGTGTCTGTCTGTACACCTGTCACTGCATTGCCTTGGTTACTCCTTAAAGGAATGCTATTTCATGGTGTCTTTCTGTTCTTATGTGTTTGTGCAAGCGTTTGTAATATAGCCAGAGGGCTCAGCACATTTCTGAAAGCACAACTGCAGTGAACACCTGATACAGGCCCGACCAGTAACAAATCCTTTGCCCTTTCATTAGGAGCTAAAGCTGGTTTTACACATTTAACAAGCAGGCAGAGCATTGAAGTCTGTTTCTGCATTCCGGAGGGCTTTTTCCTAGTGTCATTTTGAGAGAGAACATGTAATGTGCACCTAAAACTTTTCTCATAATGTCAAAAAATGACT